AGTAAAATGCCTTGATATGAAAAAAAACAAACAAACAAATTTACAATCTTTTAACAAAAAATCTGAAAAATACAATGCTATCATTGGGTTTATTTTTCAAAGGGAAATATGCATATTAAGAAAACTGAAAGTGTAATGCTAAATTTGGTGGATTTTTTTAAGTAAAATGGTTTGATTGGAAATTTTTTGTACGATGTTTTAAACAAAAGAAAGCTGAAAAGTGCATTCCATGCCTAGACAAAGTCGAGCATTCTAAAGGAAGGTAAAAGAGGAATTCACCAAATAAAAGAGCACCTTTAGTAATGGAAGGGTAATTTAGGCATTTTTGGTTTTATTTCTGTTAGGAGGGTTGGCTAGTCATTTTTGTCCCTTGGTTGTTACGTGAATGGAAGGAGAGCACATTGTCTTAATTTTTGTGAAATCTGGAATTGATTCCTTGGGGAAGGCTAGGCTCTTGAATCTCTAGCAAATCATAAGTTTTCTTGTAATCTTTTGAGTGATTCTGACTTAATCAGATGTTCTTGTTTTATAAATCAATTTGTAGTCAAGTTCATAGCAGTATTTAGCTATTTATTGCATTTAGCCCATTTGCTTATTGAAGTTTTTGGTTTGAAGTGCTGATCAATGTAAACTACAACAAGAATTTAGAAGACACAACAAAATAAATAGATGTTTAGTAGAAAGAACATACCTGGACTAAGAGCTGAAAGTATTTTGCTTTTTCTCAGTCCACTTGGAGCATAAGGAAGATTCAGTATCTCCACTATAATGAACAAGAAATATACAGATGTTTAGTATCACTCAGTTGTATCTTACATCGATTTTGTAATACATTCTCAAAAACCCTAATTAATACCTTTATAACCATCACCTGAAGTTAAGAAACAATTGCTTAGAGAAGAAGAACCAAAGAAAGCAGGAAAAGAAATTCACACGTTTATCAATGTTATCATGGAAAGCAGAGTTCGAATCAATGAACTGTCTAATGTTAACATGTCACTTGCTCTCATTGAAATCTTAACCTGTTCAGACTTCAGAAACATGAACTCAAATATCATTATGATGAGGACTGATGCAAGTTGCAAAGATATCATCTTAATGATGACTTGCTAACCTTTGACAAGCAAATTGTGACATCTGTAAAGTTACAACAAAAGGGTAAAATAGTACAATCTCTTGTCTCATCATTCAAAAGTATCACTTCTCAGTGTCTTGGCAATTTGCCACACTGGTTTTTGTAAAAATGCATGAAGAAAACATTAATTTCATGCATTACACTTTATTACTATTGATCAAGTTAATTTTTTTTAATTAATATCACATAATTAAACTTGAATATGGTGAAATCAACTTCAATTCTAAACACATACACATAGGGTAAATAGATAAATAAAGGGTAAAATGCAGGAAATAGCAACTATATCAATTCCATTACAACATTAAACATTTTCTTACTAAACACCTTCTACTTTAAAAAATCTAACCAACTATATCAATGTACTTCCGTTTTTTTTCTTATTAGAACATTATTTTTTCAATAAATGACCACTATTATAGAAATGAAAAATGCTTTGTATATAAATGACATTGTTAACTTGGTAGATTTTTGAAATTACAATGATCCTAACAACAAGAAACAAAAGTAGGGTGCTATAATAAAGAAATCAACAAAAGTATGTTGCCATTTCACAAATAAATATATGCTTTAAATCAAAACACAATCAGTTTTCCTGAGAAATCTGATTTTCATACTCTACACAATTATGCATCAAACTATGATCACGGAAGTTTATTTTCTTAATAAGCATGCTATTGAAAAAATAAGAAAGAAAAATAACATACTCATCAACATTGTTCACTACTTTTATAATGGAATGTAGTTGCCTTTGTAAAGTTAACCAAACCATGTACTCAGTCTGGTGTTTTTGCATATTTTTAACCAAACAGAAACAGAAACAGAAACAAAAACAGTGAATACTGAAATACGAGGGAAGATTGTTGACTAAAGCATCGTGATCTGATAGAATTAGATTTCACGACCATACATTAATCATATCTCAATAGCAGAAAACCCCTGGAGAAATAAAGTATAATAAAGAATAAAAAAAAAGTATAATAATGAAAAGGTGAAGAAGAAGATGAACACCAAGAATCATGGATTCCAGCAGCTGCCATATCAAAACAATAACAAACATCTGTAATCTGTGTTGTTAAAGTTGACGACCTAAGGACCAAAAATGTTATGAAACCATGAAACAAGTACCAAAATTTCTAAAAATATTATTTTTGTAGAGAACCTTTTCAGGGATTAGTGTATAGTTATGCTCCTTAAACGTATATGACAGATAATTTTTAAGAAAAGTGATGAAATGAGTACCGTATTTTCAAGAAGATTCTAGTTTTAAGGATTTAGGGTTTAGTTATGCTCCTTCAACATATATAACAATAGTTTTTAAGGAAAGAGAGAAACTCCCTTGAAATTTCATCATGGTGCTTGAAAAGGGAAGTGAAAGGGACATTACAAAAAACTAAAATACAATAGAACATTACAACAAATAGTGAAGTACTTTGTTTGATCAACTTTAAACGCCCCCTGATCCTCTCTATGGCATATTGAGTTGTATGAAATGTTACATTTTCCTTGACATGAACTGATTAAGTAACAGACTAATGAAAATACAATACTAAAAGTGGTGGATTTTTTAAAGTAAAATGCCTAGATAAGGAAAAAAATGTATAGACTTTTAAAGTTAAAATGTTGTCACAAATAAAAACTAAAAATTGCAATGTTATAAACCGGTTGAATTTTCAAATAGAAACATGCTTTTAAAAATAAAATGCAAAGTGCAATACTATAACCGGTAGATTTTTCAAAGTAAAATGCCTTGATATGAAAAAAAATTACAAAGTTACAATCTTTTAACAAAAAAACTGAAAAATGCAATGCTATTGTAGGGTTTATTTTTCAAAGAGATATATGCATATAATATAAAAACTAAAAGTGCAATGCTAAATTTGGTGGATTTTTTAAAGTAAAATGGTTTGATTGGAAATTTATTGAAATTTTAAACGAAAGAAAACTGAAAAGTGCAATGCTAAAATTGGGTTTATTTTTCAAAGGAAATGTTCTTAAAATAAGAAAAACTTAAAGTGCAATGCTATAATTGGTATACTTTTACAAGAAAAATGCCTTAAAGAAAAACTATAAAGTTAAAATGTTGTCACAAAAAAAGACTAAAAGTTAAAATGTAAAATGTAAAGGCATTTTAGGTTTTAATTTCTATTACAGGTGTAGTCTATAAGTTCTTCGAGGGCGGAATATCGCTATGCATCTACTAAGTCAAGTATTCTAGAGGGGGGTAAAATGGGAATTCACCAACTAAAAGAGCATCTTTGGTAATTTAGGCATTTTTTGTTTTATTTTTGTTAGTGGAAGGAGAGCACATCTTCTTTTTGTGAAACCTGGAATCTCTAGCAATCATAATTTTCTTGTAATCTTTTGAGTGATTTGTTCTCGTTTTATAAATTGATATGCATTTGTCGCATTTTCTTATTGAGGTTTGTGGTTTGAAGTGCTAATCAATGTAAACAAAATATATAGATGTTTAGTAGAAAGAACATACCTGGATTAAGAACTGAAAGTATCTTGGTAATCAATATATCAGCTAACAACAATAATAATGTTCAGTAGATCATGCTCCTATTTACAAGAAAAAAGAACCCTATTACCAACTTGGGGAACAGAAAAATATACCCATAACAGAAATAAAGTAACTAAAGAATCCCAAAAAGATCAACAAAAATCCGTCTTAATTTTTGTACAAGATCTAACAAATCCATTGAATAAGTCAACACCCACATTGTTATCAATCTGTTCCTCAAATACTGGCACCCTATGAGTCCAATTTAACAATTATTAAATATATCTTACCTTTCTTTAAACTAATTGTTTCAGAATTACCTATTAGAATATTATGAGTCACTGAATTAGTGATGAAAACCAACCAAGAATCAACCGTAACTACATCTACAAGAGGAGACTTATATAATATCCTGTATTATATAAGAATAAAATAATTATTATAATTTCATATTTCAAGAAATACTGAAACTTGGAAACAAAAAGTGACATGAACTTTATTTATGCATGCTTGCTCTTCTTCCTCAACAGCCCGAATCAACTCTGCAACCCTAAACATCAGCTTAAGATCATCTTCTGTCACAGATGCAAAATTTAATTGCAAATCATTAACTTAAATGAAATTTAAAGTATTTGAGTTGAAATAAATGGCTAACCTTTTCCCTTTTAACCTAAGAATTTTAAGCACTCCAACAACCCTAGCAACCACAGTAGCATTATGAAAATTAACAACCAAATTATTAAGCTTTTCAAATGACCTTTTATTTTTAAATACTGTTGTTGCTGCTCTCGTGAACCTCATTATCCCTATGAGAGAAGACCTTCTCCCCATGTGTTAGCTTTGTAAAGCATCCATCCATAGCCCACTCACCTGAGACAAAGAATCACATGAGCAAGAATTGGAGATAAATATCCATGTCATCATCATCCTGTGCATGCATGTTTGAGAAATTTTATGCAAAAGTTATCATCTTCATGATATTTGAACTGACCAAAGAGAAATCACTATAAACCAACCTGAGTACAGATTATCAAGCAAGAGTTTTGTCACACTCTTGCATAAAAAAATCAGAACCCAAGTATTTAAACAATCAGTCTCAGATGCATATATACTATCAGTCTATCGCACATACACAAATGTATTAACAACCTAACCTCAGCCAGGAAACTATTCATCAGGTGTCAAAAACTCTTGCATGTTTGTAAATCTTCATCAAACAAGGTTCTCACATGATAACTTAGCAACAAACTCATGAACTTCAGTAAGTTTTGAAGCATAATTATGTTTCATGTGGAAATCATCTTTATTTCCAGACTGTTCATCATTATCACCTTCCTTGTATCCAATAATTAATGTCATTCAGTTGTTTCCAGTCCTCATCCGTGAATTGCAAAGGTTTTGATTTTCATCTTCCCTAAAACCACATACTGCAAAAATATTTCTTGACAAATAGAAGAGAAAAAAAAAAAGTAACTTAACAATTAAGAAGGTGAGGAAAAGAATACCTATTTTTAACCAAACAGAAATACGAGGAAAGATTGTTGACTAAAACATCGTGATCTGATAGAATTAGATTTCATGTCCATACATTAAACTTTATTTGTACAGGAAAAAAAAATCACATCTCAATAGCAGAAAACCCCTGGACAAATAAAGTAGAATAGAGAATAAAAAAAATATAAGAATGAATAGATGAAGAAGAAAAACCCCCAACGAGAAGATGAACACCAAGAATACCAACGAAAAGAACAATAAAATGCAGTTTCCTTTTTAAGTTGTAATGTATCTGGTGCAGTTAGTTAAAAAGACAAAATCAGAGTTTACAGAAAAACCCGCCAACGAATAGATGAAGAAGAAGGCATTAATCCCAACGAGCAGACAGAAGAAAATAGCAATTGACCTTTGATTCTTTCTTATTCAAACATCAATTTTAATTTTACAATATCTTAATCACAAAAAAAAAACCTAACAAAAACTTACAATGATCTTGATAATTTCTTGGACTAGAGAGATGAATCAGAGTTTCCTGCGCGAGGTTGGGGGTGTTTAGGTCTCCGGCAGTGGAGTTACATAGATCGCTATGGGTCTGGGGGTGTTTGGGTTTGTTGAGAGCGGAATGACTGAAGAACGCGCGACCACAAACCAATTCTTTCGAATTCAAAGGGTTTCTTAGATCTCCAGCGAAGAAAGGAAGGTGGGTTTGGACTCCGGGGAGCGGAGGAGTTAGAGAGATCGTCAGGGGTTTGGGTCTGTTGAGAGCGGGAACGAATATATTGCGGGAATACGAAGCCAACCCTTTCGACTTCCAACGGTTATATTATAAGCTTTCCAAAATTAAGATTTTCTACGTTACAGCTTGAAAGCTAACATGTAAATTACACGAATGGTCCCTATGGTTTAGGGTAATTTGCACGTTTGGTCCCTAACTTATTTTTTTAACTCGGAAGGTCCATACTGTTTGTTTTTGTTACGCGCATGGTCCCTATCTTACCTAAAAAGACTATTTTGCCCTTTATTTTTTAATTTATTCAAATAAACGCACCCCTAACCCAATCCCCTCACATTACCTTACCTACCTTATCATTTTTTTCTATTTAAATAATAGTCTTTTTAGGTAAGACAAGGACCAAACGCATAACAAAAACAAATAGTAGGGACCAATTGTGTAACAAAAACAAACTGTAGGGACCTTCCGAATTAAAAAAATAAGTTAGGGACCAAGCGTGCAAATTACCCCAAACCATAGGGACCATTCGTGTAATTTACTCAATTTTGAACTTATGCTTAATTCTTGTTTTGTATAGAAAAACTTAAATGTATTAATATGTTTATTTTTTATTTTTTATTTATTGAAATATTTATTTATTAGTGGTTTTAGACATTGCAATGTTTAAATGAATATTTTTTTTCACCTAAATTTGGCCTATGATCCTAAAGTCAAAATGTTATTTAGGGACATAAAAATATTAAATGTAGACAAATGTAGATCCATAATCAACCCATTGTAGTGTTCAAAATATTTGGTTATTGACTTTTTTTTACGCAAATTACCACTGACAATTTTGTTCGAAATATACCATATTAAACTTTTCTAGACTTCTTTTCAAGTTATTGTAAGACTTGTTTTACATTTTTTATAACTTTTTTAATATTTTTATGTACTTTTTGACAACTTCTCTTCTGTAAAAAAAAGGTCTAAAAGTTGTAAAAAAAAAGAATAAAAATACTAAAAAGTTGGTAAAAACATTGGAAACAATTTATAAAAAAAACTGCAAAACAAGTTTTATGAAAAGTGGTAATAAACGTTTGTAAAAAAAAGTTTAAAAAAAGGTTTAATAGTGTTTTTAGAACATAAATTTTACTTTAATGATAATTTGCATAAAAAATAAATCAAAGTTCAAATGTGTACAAAGTGCATACTTTGTTACCATGTAAAGTCATTAACCGGTCGTTGAAACCAACTAGACTGTCTATTATCGATCAAAATTATAGATTTCAAACATCATATGAGAGAGTTAATGGTAAATCGTGTACAAACAAAATACAATGACCAAATATGTAAACGGACCATAGTTTGTTACATTTGATACTTTCTTACTTTCTTACATTTGTTTTTAAATGCTTTTGAATCACCGTCTAATTTAAACCATTCATAAAGATGTATCATGATTCAAAAGCGGATGTAAACCATTTGAAACCAAAATACCAAAGATTTTAGACTATTTTTGTGTTCCAAATTCGATCCAAAATGGTCCTAAAAGATTTTAGACTATGAATGGCTTAAATAGTAGCCAGACCTTTCAAGTCTCAACTTTCTCATTATATACATAAAATGTTACAAGTTTAACTTAGAAAAATCCATGGATTCATCACCATTCATATCATCTTGTTGACAAAGCTCACAAGACACTTGAAAACTAGGCATTTCTTTCACGCATTGATCAATATTCTTCTCAAGCCACGCCAATCGCCTCTCAAAACTCAACACTGCACCATGCATAACCCTAACATCGAGTCGACCCACTCTCGCACATGATCTTAATAAAATATAATAATCTGCATGTGAAGCATAAGTATAGTTTCCATCGTCTTTTTTCCTTGTATAATGTAAATAATCATCGGGTCTTTTAATGTTAGTCCTTGGAGGAATATAACAAAATCTTTTTTCTTCCATATTTGATATAATTCGCCTTATTGCCTTTTCTTTTTGGGTCTCTTTGCTAATTTGTGCATCATTGTCATCTTTAGGTTTCTTGACCTTGTTCATGTTAGTGTTGGTTTTGGAAAAATCAAGAGGTCTCTTGTGGGAACCACAATTAGAGCTTGGAGATGATGGCTTGTGATCCTCCTACAATTAATCACCAAAACAAACAAACTTATCATGAATTCCATATGTAAATCTCTCCTCAATTATATCATGTCATACATACCTCTTCTTTATGATAATAATTCCAAAGATCTTCTATTATCTGATCTTCTTCATGATCCTCAAATGACAATTCCACCCCAGCAAACACCACATTCTTGCAATATTCAAGATACGTTTCAAGATCCCTACCATCAACTACCAAACAAAGACAGGACAATCTGTTGGAAAAATACTAAGAGTAGGTGTAGTTGGATGGAATGGAATAACAAAGGAGCGGAATGGAATGAACAATTCCATTCCTTTCCTTATTCCATCACTAACCTAAACATATGAAACAACTTAACGTATTGTAAATTTCATGAAAATCAAAGGTTGCATCGATTTATAACATTTTCAGATTAGGGTATAAAGTTTAATTTGAAATTTGTAAGAGCTTACCACTTGTATCAATGAGTTGACTGTATTTTGACTCGAGCAAAACTAAAATCTCTGTAGCATCCAAGTTCGATTGTTTCGGTAGTCGCTTATCATAACTCTCGAAAACAAGATTATTAGAAAGAGACGGCATCTTGCATTCCGATTCCGCCGTTTTATCAAAAATCTTAGATTCCTTTCCGTCTTTTCTCTTCGCCAAACCCTTTTCCCACTTCCCAAAACCATGTATCTTATAAAGAATCCTGATTGAAAAAATAAGTATAGACAACACACAAGCACGTGTAGGAAGCCGGAATTCATTACCAGATAACCAAAGCTCAGGTGGCATTGACCACTCATAAATCCGGGAAGCATGAGGGAGAATGGTCTCAACTGGAAGAGACAGCTGCCCGAGATACCGGGCAGCAATTCCATAGAAGTTGACCGGAGGTAATTCCAATCCAATGGAATGAGCAATTGAAGCAGCTAATGATTCCAGCTTCTGAATAGAAATACAATGTAATGGTCTGAACATACGACTTGAGCTTAATGGACATGCATTAGTTGGGGATCCGATTTGTTTTTCTATTTCAAGAAAGGCTGTGAAATAAGGGAGTTTTCCTTCGAGTGTCCATTTTGCTATATCAGTTGACAAAATTGGCTCTCTTGCCAGGTGGCAGAGTAAAAAAGAAATGGCTAAAGAATAGGGTAAGGGTATTGTTTTGCTTACGGATCTATACCATATCATTACGGATCGTTTTCCGAGTATGTTATGAGGTTCGGATTTGTGTTTAGCATTTGGTGCAACAGCTTCTGTTTCCCCTGAAATAGAATAAGAAAATGTTAGTATTTCTCTTTATAAAAATACCAAAAAAAAAACAATAAAACGAATACCTTGTACTTGAGATTCTGATTCATTAATAACCTCATCAGCCCAATCATCACTGAAAAGCTTAGTGGATGCCACAAATCTTAACCAAATGGGCTCCACCATATCAACAATTATAGGACACACGTTAAAATTTTCAACCAAAGTCTTAACTTGCAACTCAATCATGATCTGCAATCCCATCACATACCTCATCCTAATTTCTGAATAATAATCTTCATAACTTAATGTTCTTGGCCCTCTCCCAAAATCAATAGGCTCAGTGGGACCCACCCCATCATCATCATCATTCTCTTGGGTCCTTAAAGTTTCCCAAAACTGTGAAGGGGGTTGGGATTGAGAAAGAGGTTCAGGTTTGACCACAGCTACACGTCTTTGCACAATTCCACCAACATTTTCCTTTGTTAAAAGCATCTCATCATCATCAACAGCTGTATCCCTGATTCCATCAGCTTGAGAACCGCATCTTTGACAGTAAAAGAAGCCATCTGAACCATCATCCAATCCCACAAAGCCACAAACTTGGCATTCCAAACCTAATCCATCTGTCATCTTTGGATTGGGTGCCTAAGTGCCTATAGAAACACAACATCATGTAAGAAATGAGAAGTTTAGATTTTCATAGTGACATGACTCTTATTGGTTTTGGACTTAATGATTCTTTTGCAGAATGCTAACTATTTGAATTTTATTGGTTTCTTTAATAACTTGGTTTGATTAAATAAATTACAGGTTGAAACAAGTAACTATTTACACTGATTGGTTTCTTTAGTAACTTAGTTTGATTGGAATAAAGAACAATTTGGAACAAATAAGCAAAATAAAAAACTAAGAAGTCTTGCAATAAAGTTCAAGTACTCATGAATTTCAAATAAAAAACAAAGTAAACAGTTACCCTAATCCTAATTCAAATAGAAAAATCCAATTGATTGTGATGGATATTTAATTACCAGCTCTAATCCTAATTCAGTGGATTTAAAATTTGCCCTAATCAGTAATCATTACTGGAGCAATAAACATAAACAAACTGACCTTGTTTGAGTGGAATCGAACGTGAATCGAGTGAGAGATAGAGGGTGTTTGGCTAAGCTTATTAAAAATGCTTCTAACTATTTAACTTATAGTTTATTAACTTACAGCGGTTTGGAGTTTTTAAAAAGTGTTTGGCTAATCCTTCAAACTCAAACGATCCTTCAATCTCCTCGGTATTTCATTCAAAACCAATTCCCAATTCACATTCAAATGTAAGCTACTTTCATTGCAAATGTTTTTATTTTAGAGCTCTTTTTATGAGTTTGTTACGCATCAATCAACAAAATAATCACCAGGAAAAAAGAAGAATGAATGAAAGGCTAGGAAAAAAATCCACAGCAAGAAAGGGCTCGACAGCAGGAAAAATTGAACAAAAACGAACCTTAGCTGTGGGGTCGAAGGTATCCGGTGTTGCTGTGGGGTGCGACTTGTCTCCGGCCGGTAGCTTCACAGGGGAGGAGATGGCTAACGGCGGGTGAGCAGGGAGGGCTAGCTTGAGGAGGCAACGATAGGCGTTTGTGTCGCCGTATAAGCTTTATTAGGCTAAGGGTATATCGGTCAATTTTATTAAATGGTAAAATAAAGACTTTTTGATAAGGGTGTGGGGAGTGGTCACTAGGGGTGCAAACGAGTCAACCTACTCGCGAGCTACTCGAGATCGGATCGTTAAAAGCTCGACTCGAAACCGATTTTAAACGAGCCCGAGCCAAACTCGACCTTAATATTAAGCTTGTTTATTAAACGAGCTCAAGCCTATGTCACTAAGCTCGATTAGGCTCGTGAGCCTAAACGAGCCTTTATATAATATAATTTATTATTATTTATATATATTAAAATAAAAACATATTAGGGGAATTATGAATTTAGTGTATTAGTAAACGAGCTTTTTAACAAGCTCGAGCCGACCTTAAGCTTATTTAGGCACGTCAGATAAAAACGAGTCGAGCCCGAGCCGAGTTTGTATAACTCTTTACGAGTTCGAGCCGAGCTCAGTAAAAGAAAGCTTGAATCGAGCCGAGCTCGAGCTCGAGCCTCATATAACTTAAACGAGCCCGAGCCGAGCCTGGCCAGGCTCGGGCTCGGCTGGGCTCGTTTGCACCCCTAGTGGTCACCACCAACCCACCGGAAAAATGGTGTCACCTCTGCGCCACATCACCTTACCACCAACCCACTAAAATTAGGAAATGGTCATCACTCTATAATTATTTTTTTAATGACTAAATTAGATAAAAACATAACTTAAAACATAATAAAATATTTTATATTAATTAAAACCACATTACATAATTTAAAACATAGAAAATTAAACCTAAATTACTAAAAAAACATAAAAACACATAGAAAATTAAAACTAAAATACTAAAAAAAACATAAAAATAACTTAGAAAATTAAACCTAAATTACTAAAAAACATCGAATCTAGTTGCGATATTGGTCGAGAACTTCTTGTTGAATTTTCAAAAACACCCTTAAATTTTACGGGTCGAGATTTGGCTGCGGCACCGTGTTTATGATTTGAAGATTGGTGAGTGCCAATTGTCGCCGGCGTTGTTCCTCCGTTGAATCAAAAAAAAATTTCTAAAAAATTTAGAGTTTTGTCGATTTTCTCCGCTAGTACGTCATCGTTGGTTGATTTTCCGCTAGACGAAGCCCCTTTTCTCGTTTTGTCCCTTCCCGGTGGTCGACGAAGATGGACGTCCGATGGACCCTCCCCCTCAGTGGCGTCGAACTCATCATTGAGGTCGAGGTTAACACCAATGTCCGACTCGGACGTTCTTGGCCTTTTGTTGGAACCGGTGGTAGATCCTGAATGCGCCGTTACGGGATAAAGAACCCATTTTGGGCCATTGCGACAAACTTCTCACGCTTTTTGGTTGCCAAAAGGTTTACCATTGTTGGTAATTTTGTATTGGTGCAACGTCGTTGACAAAATGTTGAAATCGTTGCTACCACTTCAATGCATATTTTTTAGATTGTCAAATATGCCGTTAAACTTGGTGCAAACCGCTCTAAGGTCACGCCATTTAGCATTGACCGAGTCGTATGTGCGGCTCGTTTGCCTTCCTCATAATGCGTGGAAGTGGTCTAAAACACGATTTCAAAAGCTTTGACCCGATTGCGCGTTGCCGACATCCCCGTCTTGTGATATGAAAATCCAAGCTTTAGCTAAAGTTGCCTCCTCCTCCTCGGTCCATTGGGTGTTTTTTTTTTCCTTGGATCTTTTGCTTTTTTTTTTTTTGCTTTCTACGACTTGGTTGGGTTTCTTCAACCCGTTCGTCGTCGTCGTCGTCATCGAGGTTTACGGGTGAAGATTGAGATAACGGAACTTGAGATGGTTGTGGACGTTGGAAAGTTTGGGGTTGAAAGGCTTGAAATGTGGTTGAACGAATTGTGGTGGTTGTTGTTGTTGGTAGTAGTGTGGGTGGTATAAAAGATCGGTGAATAGAGGTTGTTGTTGAACGGGGGATGATAACAATTGCATATAGCCAATATTCGCTAACGGATCATTTGGGGTGTTCGGGGTGTTCGGGGTAGGTGGGTTATTTTGGTTTGGATCCATGGAGGAAAGTATTTTTTTTGGTGAGTGTATATGTTTGTGTTCAAAGTGTGTGGTGTGTTTGAAATGAGATAAAAAGGTTGATATATATAGAGAAAGGATTGTAATTAATCAATTAATTAAATTTTTTTTACAAACGGTCAAAAGCATTCAACGGTCAAAAAATCATATCACCCAATCAATTCTCGCGTCTTCTTCCGTCTGCAGCTCCACGCCACAAGCAACCCACCGGAAGGTGGGGGGCGGTGTTCACGCATGAAGGGGGCTGACACGTCAGCTCCCACGCGTCCTTTTGGCCTCCACTCCGGACAGCCTAAGTAAAGGTATCTAAAAGACAAAATTATATAAATGGTTATTGTGGTTTATCAAAAATAATAATAATTTTAGTCTCTATAGATTTATTTTGACGAACATGATGTTTATGATTTTTAAACCATATGAAATGACTTGTTACCCTTTTAATTTCTTTTATTTTTTTCTTTAACTAAAACTTATTAAAAAAGAGGAATCACCTTACCCTCGTATATCCTCCTTCTTTCTCATTCTATATCCTACGTCTATTTTCTCTCGGTAAAAACAAACCACCATGCCCAAACCTCCAGCGCCACCATCGTCTTCCTCCCCTCTTTCATTTCACGGAGTTGGATCTCGGGCCATAAATCAATGGTGACCAATCGGAAAAATAGATTTTACACCGAGGCCACAAACATATAAAAATTTCATAGGATACATAGGCCTGCTGAGGATTCTTTTGTGAATAATCAACACATATTTGTTAATAATCGTGATAATGTCAATTTTACGCTGGTTAGATCCGATTAGCAAGAAAGAGGATTAGATTTTGAGTAGGATGATTTAAGAGTTTCAATTTGTAATCTTCAAGAATCGTACTGTTACGGAGAAATCATAAAAGAGGAAAGAATATTTAGAGATTAGGAAGAATGATTTGTACGTGTTGTTGAAGATGATGGGTGTGATGCTCTACCAATGGATGGTGATATTACTACCGGGCCATTGTATTCTAATTAATATATGCTTGAGTTTTATAAGTTTTTGAGTTGATCGGCTTGAACCATTCTAAAAGGGCATGTTCTATTTGTCCAGTAATCCTAGTCTATGTTTTGTATAAGTATAATATTTTTCATTTGATCCTTTAATATCATGGTTTTCAATTTTGATGTGTTAATACAAAAATACTATTATTTTTCTGTCCAGTGGAATAGTTGTTCTTCATATAGTCTCTTATCCTTTATGTTTTGTTACTGTGAGATCTATACATTTTTATGTATTGTGTCAAAATGCCCTTATTGGGATTTTGCCTACTTGTAGTGTTTGCTTTTCTTGTTCTGGAATCTAAGGGAGGAGGGAGTCATTCCCTCCCAACCTACTAAACCCACTGTCACATCAGTTTTTGTTTCTTTTTTTTCTTCATCTTTCCCAACCCACAACATATGAAAATCATATCTTTCTCAACCCACTCAATTAAACAAAAATACAAAACAACTAAGGTACAAGTCTTAAAACACACGGTACAAGAGAAAATAAGAGAGAGAGAGAGGGTAAAGAGAGAGAGAGAGAGAGAGAGAGAGAGAGATGATGATGAAGTGGGTTAGTGAAACCAATTAAATAAGGGAGTTGTATCTTGGAGGTACCGGTGGTAACTCTATTGCTAATTAAGATTTTACCTTGATTGTTTTGTATTTTTTTTAATTGAATGGTTTGAGTTGATTGAAAAAGATAGGGTTTCCGTGTGTTGTGGGTTGGGAAAGATGAAGAAAAATGAAAGGGAAAAACTGATGTGGCAGTGGGTTCAGTGGGTTGGGAGGGAATGACTCCCTCCTCCCTAATAGAGGAACAATGTTATATTCTATGGGAATCTAGGATGTCATGGTTATGTTTCCCTAGTCTAATCCTCAAGTATTCATGATTTCACTGGTTGTTTGTAGATATGATGGTGGTGATGTGTCACACCCCAAAACCGGAACGACGGAAACGTTCGGGGGTGGAGGACGTCATGTTTAGTATCACAAGACATGCATCATAGTAATCAAAGTAATAAACAACCATTTCATTTGAAAGAAAGTGTTTACAAAATGTGTTCACATAACATAGACTACAAAGTAAATAACAAAACAAGACTTGAAGCTATACTGCTCCATCTTCTGAATTCCCAGAGCGCGTACATGTCTACTGGTCTCCTGAGAATACAAGTTATTTTGAAAGCATAGATCAACATTTAAGCTGGTGAGTTCATAAGATTTTAGTGATGTAAGTAAGTTGTAAGAAAGTTGTAGTAAGTTGTAAGTTCTGTTTAGAAAAATTTGTCTGTTCCTCCAGAAAATCCTATATTTCCTGCTTTGATGAAAGATAAGTAAAAATGACTCTACAATCCTTTCTATGAGTACTAAATGGATACAAGTTATATAAATCCCAGAGTAAACAAATAATCGGTTGTGTGTATCTGCCCTAAGCCCACAACCAGACAAGGAACAGGAAATGAGGCGGAAGACACACATCCCATTGTTTGTTGGATCGTCGTTGTATATAACCATGACGTATTCACTTGGTACTCACGGAGTTAACTGTAATAGTTCTTTTATATTTAATGAAAAAATTCTTTAAGAAAACCCTTATTTCTTATAATAAAAATGGTAACCACAGTGGTTCCTTCTATAATTACTTAGTTTATACTAGCTATATATAATCTAATATCGAACAGATAGTTAATTGTGTGAATCTGCCCTAAGCTCACAACCAAACAAGGAACAGGGAATGAAGCGGAAAACACACATCCAACTACCGATCGGGTATTAATTATATATAACCATGATGTATAAACTAAGGTATTATAGAATTAACCACCTAAGGTCCTTTAAGTTATACTGATTTAATAAAATGGATTAAACCCTTTACTGGTTAAGTTTCTAGTTTTGAATACCAAATGTTCTATTTGCAAAGTATGTTTTGTACTAGAAAAATGTGCATTGAATTAGTGTCCTATGACCTGACCCATATCTGGTACCCCTTATGATTACTTGGCGTATACAGAATATATATAGCTAAGATCGAATAAATAGTAGGCGGGGTGTATCTGCTCTAAGTCCACAACCAAACAAGGAACAGGAAATGAAGCGGAAAGCACACATCCTACTACCTGTCGGATCCGATTAATATATATCCATGATGTACACACTAAGGAATCATAAGGTTAGCATTATAGGCCCCTTTCTACTGAATGTACTAGACTCGACTGTTCTGTTTGTAGTTTGAAAAGATGTAAGTTTTCCCTAGTTTATAACTATCTTGACTCGAAAATAGCTTGCATTAACTTTCAAGTGGAACTGTCACAAAATGAAAGTAATGGGAAATTATAAGTACCCAGTTGTCTTTTGAATTGACATCCTGACGTACTGATTACCTTAAAACATGTTTGTTTTATTAAGGTCATAATGTGATGGATAGTACCCATACTATACGCTCTCCCTGCAAGAGATTCTGGGGACCAAACGCGACTTCCGCAAACAAATTGCTAGGCCGTGTAAATTCACATTTAAGTTATATGATCATGTATACCCAATTTACTTTTGTTTAGCACAACGAGTTAGTGATTATTGGTATAATTAGATCCTGTACTGTTCTCCTGCTATAGCATTGGTATGTTTGTTCTGTTATAATATCTTAGTATGTTCCTTCTGTTATCGCGTATTGTATCTTCCTCCTTGTTTCTCTTTATAGTATGTTCTAGCATCTAGTATGAACTGAACCCCTAAACTATACATACTATAGTTTACTTGCATGTTTACTTGAACTGTTATTGGAAAGACTCATTTTGCTACTAAGTTATGCTTGTACTTTAAAAACGGAGTTTTGTTAAACTATAAAGTAACATAACTTTAAAAGAGTTTTTGAATGTTGTGATCACTTATAAAAGACTTTAGCAATCTTTTGAAAGATGTTTATAACAAACAATTACACAATTATCATTGTGTTCAACTTGTATTCCCCCCCCCCCCTAAAAGCATTTAAAACAGTTAAAAGATTCATTATAGGGGTATGAACTCACCTTATGTGGATGATTCAAACGAATATGCGCGTAAGGATGAGAAGTTCCACGAATGAAGTCCCGAGACACAACAAGTCCTAAATGACAGATATGACATATAATGGGATGAATATAGTGTTTAGAAGCAACCACATGCAAGGAAACATCTTTAAGGACTATGAAACACTTGGACCAAGTGTTAGAATCACATGTGATTCATCTAAGGGATGTTTAAGGCCACTAAATGGTGTTTACGGCCATGGAGCTTTGGGCCGTAAACTCATGGTAAAAGGTGCATAAGAGGGTGTTTGAATGGTAGGGAAGCTTGAGGGACTATTGCTCTACAAGAGGGTGAGCAAAACTAACTTTTTAGGAGGTGTTGAGGTGTTTACGGCCACACCAAAAGTGTATGGCCGTAAACTCTCCAAATGGTGTCTTTTTGGGTCTTAAAGGGAAGGGTTCTCAAAGGTTCATGTGTCCCAAAGGATAGCTAGTGTCTAGAAGTGTTTAGGGCTCAATACTTGACCATAATTAGGGTTTACGGCCAAGGGAGATTCCATGGCCGTAAACTCTTGGTAAATATGCCTAGATTGTTGTTTCAAGACTATGATCTAGTGAATAACATGCCTAACTAGATGATAGATGGAATACTCACACTTTTGAGGGCCTTAGATGAGTTTACGGCCACCAAGAACAAGTGTGTGTTCTTGGTGAAAGATGAAGATTTTGAAGATCTAACCAAAAGAGATGATTTTATGGATGGAATCAAAGGGGTGTACTAGATTAAGAAGAATAACAACTCAAAAGGTGGAAGAAATACTTACGTTTTTGAAGATCAAAGTGAAGAACTCGATGATACTTGAGAGAGAATGGAAGTGTTCTTGAGTTGGAAGTGTAATAATGAAAGAAAAGCGAAGGGAAGGAGTCTTAACGGGGGAGTTTACGGCCAACCTTGAGTCTATGGCCGTAAACTCATGTGTTATGGCCGTGAACTCCTTTTGATGGAGTTTAAGGCTTGAATGTTGCACAGTGACTCTAGCAGGTACATTCTAACACCCATTCCTTAAGTGTTCTAGGCTTAAAACTCCTTAGAATGACCTTTAACAAGGCTAGAACTCATTAGAAATGAGTCTGACACTCAGTTGAGTTGAATGGTTGGGCTTTACAAGGCAAAAAATTTCGGTTTGTCACATGATGAGTGATGACCACCATTAGTTATCAGATCTGGATCTCCACCGATTGTTTGTTTATTGACGAAATCATGGAACGTGTGAGGGAAATTAGTGCAGTGATATGGTGGAGGAATATGGCAACTGAAGTGATTGAACAATGAAGAAGGTGATGGGTTTTAGACATTACAAAACAAACTAAATCCTAAGTGTGCATGCAACCTAATACAAAAGATCTATGTTTTCTCTATTGAACCTATAACTATGAACACCAAAGTAAGAACCCTAACAACCCTAGGTTATTTCAAAATTACTAAAGAAAAGATTACATACCTTATTCTTGTTATTGTAAACATTGTAGTATGGTTCTTATGATTCAAAATTATGAACACACACGAACAAACCAAGAAAATAGGGAAGATGAACAACAACTAACCCAGAAAAAACTTTAAATTAAATAGAAAGAACATTAAAAAAATGTATAAAAAATGCATTTTATAGAAAGAACATTAAAAAAGGCATTTTATTAGGCCCTATAATTTTTATAAATAAAACTTTAAATTAAATAGAAAGAACATTAAAAAAATGTATAAAAAAGGCATGTTTTTTTTTTCAGTTTTCCGAAAGACCAAAACCACAAACAACTTAAAAGAACCACCAATCCAGAAAAGTTGGGATTTGGATCTAAACCAAAAAAAAATGCATACGATAGGTATATTTTTGTAGTTTTGTCTATTTAAAATTCAAGACAGAAACATATTTTTATTTTTAACATAAAACAAAAACCTATATCTTGAAACCAAAACAAAAACCAATAAATACCCTTTCCATCATTGTTTGTCTTTCGTTTTCCAATATATTTGATTCGATTTTATTTTTCATTTTACAACATAGCCACTTTATCGTTAATCTGTTTTATGATATCTTCAAACCAGCTTATATATTACTTAAAATTAACAAAAATACACTTACAGACAAAATATATAAATTCCTAAAAATATAGTTGTTTGCAAATCTATTTATCAATTAGGTTTATTAAGTTTTAAAGTTGTTTTATTTTGCAAAATCGCGTAGCATACAGGTTATAATCTAGTTGCTTAATAAGTTGGTCCCAATACCCTTAAACCGACCACTAAGTAACTAATTTATGTATGAGCTTTGAACTTATAAAAGAATAAATCTTGTGAGGTATGATAAGAAAATAAATAGAACACACGTAGCAATTACCTAATAAAAATCAAAATTAGAACCGTATTGATGATTTATTTGCTTTTTCTGCATAAATTAGGTTTTTTAGGTAGGATGCTACTACTGAACATTGTGATGTTGTGGTCGACATAGTGTTCATTGTTGGGTAGAAAGGTGGTTTTGTCAGGGTATGATGATGATGAATATTGATGATGGTTATTGAGTCATGACATGAATCGATGGATGTACGGATATCATGCTTCTTATGGACTGGCCCATTACTTTTGGCCTCTACTTGGGCCCTCCCTACCCAACAGGTAGTTTATACCGTTCCCGATTTCCGATATGTATTAAATATCTAAAACTATGTTTTGAATTCAACATATAAATAAATCAATATATTAATTTAAATAGCATATCAAATATAATACAAACTAGGAAAGAGGCACCCATGCTACACATGGGTCAGAATTTTTGGTTTTTAATTGCAGCTGTTCATCATAAACTTATCGACATGAATGATAAAATCGATAAAAAAATATTCTTGTTTATGCAACAATAAAAAGAAGGATTGAGACTTACATCATCCTCATCCTCTAATTACAGAAGCTGATGTGTCTTTCTAAGTTTGAGAGCAGAAGAAATTCAGATAAATGTTGCGAGAAACTACCTGTGCATCTCTCTTTGACTTTGTAGTTTTCTTTGAGCTCTCTTTCCATACAGCCTCAGGAAGCTCTGCAGAAGTTTCACTAACCATAGCAGTATATTAACACAAACAAATTTATAGACAAAAAAAGACAGAATTGCCCCTGTCCCACACCTTGGTGGGTTTGTAAACAACAACACAATAAATCTTTCTATAGAACTTGGGTTTGACCAATTTTCCGGGCACATAAGCTTTGGATTTCACCCGTCATTTTGACGTCCATGATACTCTAGATAACACCGACGCCCTGTAAATTCGCAGTCAAAAAAATAAAAACCAAAAAATCATGAACTTGGATAAGCAATGAAAGAAATGTTCCATTTACTCTTTTTTAAATAATTTATTACTTTTTTTAATGACAAACTTTGAAATGTAAATAGTGTTTGTAATGACAACTTTTGTAATATGTGACTGCCTTTTCCCTATAATAAATCATAAAATTTGATTGTTAGCATACTTTTGTACTTCCATATAGTTTAGGGACCATTGTTGTCGTAGTTAGATTCACTAACCATGTTTATCATCAAACGATTCATTAATTCTAACATTGATAGATTTAATATAAACAAATTTTAACAAAGGGTAGATTTCTACTCCAAACGTCCCACTTCTGCTTTCAAGTCCAAACCTGTGATACTCCTGTTCCCAATATTAACTGCACTGAGTTTGAAGATATGCTTACCAACAGCATCTAATCCAGTTAATTTGGGCATGAACTGCCTAATATGCCCTTCTGCTGCTTCATCTGCTTTAAGTGTTTCACACTCAAAAGAAATTGCAATCTACCTCTTCTCTTGCTCCTTAGCAACCAAACCAACCACATCCTTCTCTTGCTCCATGTTTCTTTATGATTGTTATTTATAGTTCTTATTAAGTATTTAGTGAATTGAGAAGATAGTAACATAAGGAAGTAAACAGTACCAACAGAGAAACATAAGTTTAAGGGATATCATTGTTGATAAAGAATCAACTTGGAATCACCAAACAAAGAACAAAGATAGTTGTTAGTTAATAAAAGGAGACAAAAGAAAAAAATAACTAAACTTATACTTAGTCCTTTATCAGTTTGGTTAATGCGGTAATGTCTAAAAAACAATGAAGAAACAAACCTAGGTGGGATTGAAAAACAGAAATCCAATGTTTCATTATTTGATAGCTTATTCGAAACATAAAGATATTAAAAAAATTAGTTAAGAAACCTAATCGAGAGGGAAGCTAGGATTTAGATAGTACCTTGGACCCATTCCAGAAGCTGTGAAGGAAGACACAACGGTTTACAGAACCCTATCTTTTATTCTTTAGAAATCACATCAAACCACCACAAATAGAAAGGAATTAGAGGCAGCCAAAAATTAGTGCATAAAAAGAACAGCAAAAAAAATAAACTCACATCAAGTTGTACACTACCAGTCCGAATACAATAACACTCAAACCCTTTTCGGTTTAGGAACCAGGCCCAAAAATCAACCATAAAGACAAAAAGAGGGCGAAAAGTCTTGATAGCACTTAGCTCTGTTGTATCAACTTCAGTGTCCTCCACTTTCTTTATCAATGAAGACTTCAAAAGGTAACCAAAGTCAACAACAATCACCTTGATATATATGTTCAGTGAATGAATCAGTTAAAACCCTAATTATACGGCATGTTCAGGAAACTTTGGCATTTATGCTAATATTAATACAGAGAATGAAACAAATAAAGTAAGAAATGAGTATGTTAGTAGTATACTACTATGTACCTGCTTTTCTAGATATTTTGGTGCAGAAATCAAAGAAAGAACTTCCATATGACCAAAAACCAAATCGAAAGATTTCTTCTGTGTAATAGGTGATTGGATGAAAGAGGCAGTGGAGGGGCCAAATCGACAGCAGGGAAGTGATCCGCTGCTACCTTATGTGGTTTGCTCATCGCCTGCCTCTTCGTCTGGCGCCAGCCCTGGTGGGGGTGGTGCGTGGCGGTGTCGAACCCTAGCCAATGCTGGAGACGGGAGAAAATCATTGTCGTCGGTATCCGGATTTAGGGTGAGAGAGATACATAGCGTATGTGTTTCTTTCGAACATATACTTTTGCAGTGAAAAGTGGTTCAAAGAAATACGTTACCTTTTAGCGTTCGGGTGGTTGAAATCGACGACTGTCACAATAAGCAGAAGGTGGAAGGAGTCGGTGGAGTGAACAACGCCTGAATTTCTTCTTCCATCACATAACCGACGATCTCTGAGGTGCAGCAACGACGGAGCAGGTGGAGGTCAAATAACGGGCGTTAATGGAGATTATCTAAATGTGGGGAAGTATTTGAGTCGGTGGTTATGAAAAGATTAGAGAAGCATCTGGACTGACTGGACTGAGTCGTTGACGGATAAGAATGGCGGTGGAAGAATATAAGCAAGGGAAAGGGGCAAAATATAACCACAAAAACTTATGTGGTCAAAATTTAAAAGGAAGAAAGTTTTGTGGTTAAATTCGAAAATCCAAAAGAGTACTGTGCTTAAGGCTCCCCACAATTAAGTATATATATAATTAGTTATTACTAAACTTGTTAGTAATTAATATGAACTTGTAATCATAAAAATAACGAATTCTAAATGCATATTAAAAAAGATATTTACTGTTATACATATTCAAACGCAAAAGCCAAACACACTCTTTTTTGTTAATATATTTTGAGTGTATTTAAAATTTATTTTTATTAAATATTTAACAACGTATGTATAAAATGATCGGGTAATATCAAATTCGATGTTTTAATCTTTATCAATGCTAAAACAATATTTTTTAGTGTGGTTGATGGTGTATTAAATATAAAAATGGTGTTTTGACGTATGATATAGGACGGATCAACATTATATTTTGTTAAGCTAGGGCTTAGGGCCCTCAATTCTAAAGAGCCTTATATTCTTAAAACTTAACACAATATTAATATATCTCAAATCTCAATTAGTCCATCACTGGTTGTTCGATATACCACATCACTGTGAACAATCTTGATTTTTGAAGATGAAATGCATGTGACACATCAGTGTGATCTTGAAATCTGAAACACTGCATTTATCTTATATGCTTCTATCTTAATTATCGGTTGTTCAAATCCTCAACGTCAAACGGTATGTGTTTTACTTTTTTTTTTTTCACTTTTCCATAATCTATTAGGGTAAGCTAATTAGGGTTAATTATTTTTAGTTATCCATTGATTACATAATACAAATTTTGAGTTGTCAAGTCTTATATACTTATGTGTGGATTTCGCTTTTGGAATTTCTGAATTTGGGTTGGAACGAACTCAAGGATTTTCAAATCCTTAACCCCTTTTGTCATGTTTACCGATTTCATTACTTACCCGGTTCCATTAAAGTCTTATTGTTTTATCATAATTTACGAATAAATCTCAAACTAAAATTAAGTGATGATTTGACCATTTTTCTCCATGTAACATATATTTTACTGGTTTCATTGTTGACTTTGACGCCTAGTCATTAAATGAGCTGATAAGATGGATATCGTAAGTTATATAATTCTACATTTACCGTAAAATTTGATATCTATCTCATCGGCTCGTTTATGATTATGTATCAAGGTCATCAATGAACCCGGTAAAATATGTGTTTCTGGGAAAAAAAGGGTGGGAAAGGAGTTGTTGCTAGTTTATGTAATTATTGTAGTATTCGTTGGACGCATTTTATATTCCAAAAAATGTACAGTACATCAGGATATCAAGTTTTATGGTAAACATAACATAATATAACCCAACATATTGTCACACCCCCAAACCTGAACGGCGGAAACATTCGGGGGAGGAGGACGTCATGTACAATATCACAACAATTGTATAATAGTAATCAAAGCAACAACAACCATTGTATTGATAATAAAGTGTTTACATTGTATTCGAATCACAACTGGATTGACTCCCAAAAGTAAATAACAGAACAAAGACTTGAAGCTACTATGCTCCATCTTCTCAAATTTGTGTGGTTGTACCTGTATCATTGTTTCCCTAAGAATACAAGTAGTTTTTGAAAATGTGTCAACAATTAAGTTGGTGAGTTCATAAGTATGTTTGCAACTGAAATCTGTTTTCTTGTATATTGAAAAAGTGAACATGTTTTTCCCATAAAATCCTATATTTTCTGTTATGTTATACTGTAACCAAAATGTATAATGATTTATGTAACAACTTGTAAAATGTAGTTTAGTTCTCATAAAAACCTTGAAAAGTATGTTTTCTCTGAATTGAAGTAGTATTCCATGTTTATACTTGTAAGATACTGTATTATAATTTTATATTTAAATAAAACTATGTGAAGTATTACTTATTCATACAATAATCATTTTGTTCAATACCAAATTGTGAGTTATCATAACCATGCTTGATGACCTAGGATCGCCTAAAACACGACGTTCTTCAGGCGTCGAAATATGGTACGACAGTTGTCACAACAGGTCTTCCGACTTAGCTGTTGCAAGCAGCTCTGGTACGGGATTGTCAGTCCCATATAGATCTATACACAAGTGTCACGCTCTCACACAAGGAGACTCTGGTTATAATTTTTAGGACTTTTGTTTTATATTTAAATAAGTACTTGAAGCGTGTCTCACAAGTGCTATATCGATGATTACATGTAGAATAATAAAAAGTTATTTTGTAATAACTATATTGAAAGTAAGTTTCATAAACTATATAAAATATAGTTTTATATGTTTGTTTCTTAGTAAAGTATTCTGTTTGTTTTCTAATAATGTTATCTGTTTATTTTCCCTCATGTATTCTATTTGTATTCTGTTATGTATTATGTTAATTTTCATGTTATGTACTTTGAAACTTGAAATAAATGAATGGGTTCTCTAAACTATACCTATTATAGTTTAGCTGTTTGTTTTACTGTAAGAATCTGTAATACTGTTATTCCATGAAATTCTCTGTTTGTACTCAGGTAGTATCAAACAGTTTGAAAACCATTTTATATTTATATAAATGTAATATTTATATAATTGCGATTAATTAGACCTTCGATTAAATAACTTTACCCCAAGCCCACAACCAAACAAGGAACAGGAAATGGGGTCAAATTACATATTCTGAATCTTCTGAATCCAAATTATATAATTTACACATATATAAATATGTAATTTTTATCAATTATAACAATTTAAAAGTACTAAAAATATTTAAAAACTTTTAAGATATTAACACAATTTTATTGTGTTTCACTTGTATTCCCCCCCCCCCCCCCAACTGTAAAAACTATGAAAATACGGGGGGTATGAACTCACTTGATAGGTGGTGATTCGGACATAGTTTCGTTTCTTAGAAGGGAGTTTTCTTGACGTAACCGAGAGTTTTTGATGAAAAGCCGGCTTCACTCGGGCAGAGTTTCAGCTTAAAATTGAGGACTTCGGGACTTCGGGGCTTGCTTCAAGTGGTAAGGAGGTACCCGGGACTTCGGAGGGTTTAGAAGAGTTTAAAAGAGTGTTTAAGTGGAGAGAGGATTTAGAATTTCTAAACAAAACCCGGAGGTCTCGCATCCTATTTATAGGAGGGTTCTGGCCCTCATTACGTTGGGCGTAATATTCGTGTACACTGGGCGTACTACTAAAAACCTCAGTACGCTGGGTGTACGTCTTGTACGCGGGGCGTACTAGTTCGGGCCTTATCTGATCTTCGGACGTGGTGAAGCTACGAGGCATGCGTCGAGGCTAGTCCCATTACGATGGGCGTAATCTTTTCTTACGCTGGGCGTAGTGGACACCTGGCTTTGGACGCTTCGATTGAGCGAGATACGTGTCACTTGCGAAGAAAGAGACTACGTGGACAATCCGAGACCTTGCTTCCGAGTACGTTGGGCGTACTCACGTACGCGGGGCGTACTTCCTTTTTCCAAACTTCAAAAATTCATATATTTTTCATACGAACTCTGTTTTTGACGTTCTTTATATCCACGCGTAGGTGAGACCATGCTCTACAACTTTCGTTTAGACTCTATCGGCTAGTTTTGACTTTATTTTTAAAGTTATATTTTTAACAAGCCGGGACAGAAAAAGTCCGTTAAAAATTCATAAGTTCTTCATCCGACGTTCGTTTTTGTCTGTCTTTTTTACCGTTGAATCGCTTTTGATAAGATCTACGATTCTCGTTTAGTTTGTTTTGGCCAAAAGTTGCTCGATCTAAATTTCGAGTTTCGGGCTGCGTACTGTTGTGTCGAAACTTTGAAAAATCACAACTTCTTCATACGAAGTCAGATTTAGTTGTTCTTTTTATGAACACTCTCGGTTTAACGCATACTATAACTTTCATTTAGATAATTAAGATTAAAAAATATTTTATTGAAAATTCACTTTTTACGTTAAACAGTGTTTTGCCGGTTTTGTCGCGGATTTTCGATAGGTCATTACTTCTTTGTTATGACTCGGATTTGGGCATTCTTTATATTTTTGGAATCCTTGACACGATTTCTTCCACTATATTCATCCCAAACAAGTTTGTTTAACATTTCATTTTTGAGGGTTGATTATGTAAATGCACATAGTATACAAAAATTTCTCTTTATTATTGATCTATACTATTACATAGAGTCGAAATAACGGATTGTTACACATATCTATCTCATCAGCTCATTTAATGAATAGCGTCCAGATCAAGAATGAAACCGGTGATATTTATGTTACAGGTAGAAAATGGCCAAATTATCACTTAATTTTAGTTTGGGACTTATTCATAAATTATGATAAAATAATGAGACTTTAATGAAACCGAGTAAGTAATGAAACCAGTAAACTGAGAAAAAGTGGTCAAATCGTCATTTTTACCTGTAATTCATGATTTTTCATAAACAAATTTTAGTTTGAGATTTTTTTGAAAATTATGGTAAAATATTAGGACTTTTCTGAAGATTTCCATATAAATGTGCAACAAAATAATTATATTTTAAAAATATAAAATTACATAAAAAGCAAAAGCAAAAAATTCTCAAAAACAAGTTGAAGTAACTTTGAATTATGAGTTTTTTGTTTAAACCAAAAAACTAAAATCTCCAATCCAACGAAACTCTCTTTTTTCTAAAAAATTAAAAATTAAAAGCTATCAAAAACTCTCAAAAGTTATGTACCGAACACGCATGAAAACAAGTTGATGTGGGAGATTAATCCAATATCCCATTCCGTCGTTGTTAATCAATTAAAAAGAGTATTGATTGTGTTCTTTACAATATCATATAAATTATATGTGGATATATAATATATTTGACAAAATTAGTTTGTATTTACAACCTAGAAACGGAAAAATAAAAGCTAAAAGTTAAAATTTATAACTTTTATTTATATAAAACTATTTGACATAAATTAGGATGCTAATGGAACCAAAAATGCTATTTATTTATGTAAAAGTTCTACGATTTTTATTTAGGGAAAATGACTTAAAAGGGTAATGTATTGTTTGTTTTGTACACATTTAGTCACTAAGTTTTATTTTGCCCACATTAGCCCATTTAACTTGTTTTTTTTGTCCATATCTTACCCTTATGACCGGCTGGTGTGGGTGTAGTCGGTTTCCGGTGGTCTTAGCAGCTCCGGCGAGATCCAGATCATCTTCTCAGACGAGATTCCGGTTTCGAATATGAAATCGACTTTTTGTACAAGAACAATATGGCTAGATCTGTGTTTTTGATGATTTTGGTGTTCATCTTAGGGTTTTTGTACAACCTTAATAGATCTGGAATCAAAATCAAAATATGAGTTCTTGATTTCTTGTAACCAAGAACTCCAGATCTGCTATGGTTTGTCGGAAAATCAAACACCCTACAATAACTTCATATGTTGCTTCAGTTTGAAGATCGAATACCCTTCAACTCCGATGAGCAACATCCGGCGCAGGAGAGCTCCCCGGTTCAGGAACCAACGAAGATTTAATCGTTAGAGGAGAACTCACCGGCACCACATCAGGAGGGGTTGTGGTTTGTTGTGGTAATGGTCTGGAACCGGATGTAACAGAGATGGCAAGATGTAACACTTGAATCTTGGTAAGTTTCTCATTTTCCCTTGCATTATTTAATTGT